AAACCTTTAACAGATCATTACCAGTAAGTTAAAATTATAAGTTCAGAGCTTGGACTTCAAAATATTTCATAAACTGGCTCTAAACTATTTCCAGCCAGACTCATCTACTCGTTACCTTTCAAACACCATGCACAGTCAACTCGACCGCTGATCCGCTGATCATATTGTCCTCCCTACCTCTCCTCTTTCATAACCAACCTTCCAGGTCTTAGTCATCCTTGTCCCACATTCAGGCCAATCTCAGGAACTTATCCCAGTTTTTGTTGTTCACTGTAGTCTGAATTTCCATGTTAGTCAAAACTGACTCAGTGGCAGTGGGTTTGGGGTTTATTTTGGTTGTACTCACAGAACATGAGACCATGTGTATGCATGAGGCACAAAAACATATCTTTTCCCAGTCTAATTACAGATCGAAACACTGTAGCACAATGAAAAGAAGGCAGAGGTAATAATTATATCTCCTGAATCTTCCTATTTACTACCATGGTGTCATTTCTTTGAGGCCCAACTTGTTCACCTATAAAATGAGGTTAAAAAAATTCCTAAACTCCACACAATTTTCATTAAAATAGAATACATTTTAAGAAATTCTTCATCAGACTAAGAAATACAACTCATATTAATATATTATTTAGTACATGCAACCTAGGACTCACCAAGTTATCTATTATATATTAAGGGCATAATACATCATGCTGGTAGTGCCACTAGATTATAGATACAGGAATTTGTGGAGTCATTTGAATGTTCACTCCAATCCTGTATAAAAGCATTGTCATGCAGTCAATTTGGACTGAAAATAACCATACGGGGCAGAGTAGAACTGCTCCCATAGCATTTCCAAAAGTGGTAAATAATTTCAGGAGCAGCCCGTCACACCATTTTCCTTTGAAGCAGCTGGTGAATTTGAACTGACAACTTTCTGGTTAGCAGGCAAGCACTTAACCACTGTACTACTGATTACCCCCTACAGTTCCAGGCACTTTACAGAAATTGTTATTTACTCTCCACAACATGGAAGACGGGTTCTAGACCCTGTCATCTTCATCTCCCTGAGAATCTGAGAGAAAGACACCAAGATACCAACTATAGATTATCTTCTTTCTCCATCTTTGCATTGTCTTAAAGAAAGACTTTAGAAAAGTGGAACAAAAGAAGTCACACTTATTCACTGAGGGAAATGCTAGTGGAATCTGCTGGCATCATGTACCTATTAATTGTAATGAAAGCTGTCAGCATTTTCACTAGGAGGACCATTAAAATCAGCTCCAAGATGAAAACATTGAATGTACACTCCTAGCCCAAAGGTCTCTTCTCTTTTTACACCTTCAATTAGTCATTAAAAAATGCAACACTATGGAATACAAGAGCCTAACAATTTCTATTGTTTCTGAATGCAAATATGCTAAAAAAAATTAAAAGTTGATAGTGATAGATTTTTTTTTAGCCAGTCATATTTAGAAAGTATTTTATATAGTTACTGCATTTTTCCACATTCAAGGCTAAATCAAGAGTCCGTCACACTACAGAACACTGTCAACATCCTACTTCAGCAATAATCTTCACTTGTTTCTTATGATTGCCTTCTCCATACTACTTTTCCTCCATTTCTTTATATTCTTTCCTAAATAAGGATTGTGAAAATTTTAATCAGCACCTGCCACTTAATCAGATGAACAAACAGCATTTAAGCCTTGTCAAGGATTTTTGTTAAAAAAAAAAATTCTATTTTCTCACCAAACTTCTTCCATTTGAGGGAATCAAGGACCAGATTGTTCAATATCATGCCACAAGGAAAACCTTGTGATGTCACAAAACACATGATGTCAAACACATGCCTGATAGAATATAGAGGACAACTCCTAAAAATGACAACTCCTGATAATGAACACCATAAAAGAACACAGTCTGTGTCATTATGAAGAGGGAAGATTATCTCAAAGATATCAGAATATAGACCCTCTATAGATCATAATCAGAAGGAGGAGTGGCATCCACTTCCATAATCGCTTGCCTCCGGAAACCCTATGAACCTGGAGAGAGGATGAAAAGCACCCAAGCGTCGAGGACTCTCCTTCATAGGGTCGCTATGAGTCGCCTGCAACTCGATGGCACTTAACAACAACAACAACAACATAGATCATAAATGCCCTCTTCTAGAAAAATTAGCATTTTAAAAATTCACTATACCTTAGAGGTTAAAATTCTTAAAATTGGGACTCATAATATGATAACAGAATGTATGGGAGTTTAAAAGGCACTGTGGACTTTATTCCAATAGAGAGTGGTATCTTTAAAACATAAGGTTATCATATTATAGCATGGATGGCAGTTGTAATGTCCTTCCACCATGCACTCTGGGTGTCATTTTCACCCATGACTTACGAGATGTGCCAGGTTGAAGCCTCATCATCAGTCTGTAAACTGAAGCTGCTCCAGAGGCAACAGGGGGAGAAGCAGCTGTGGTAGCATTGGGACTGAAGATGCTCAGGCAGAGAAACCAATCTGGTGGTGGTGTGAGAGATGAATGAAACCGGAGGACGAAGAGTCCAGAGGACGAGAGAAGACAAAAAGAAGAAGACAGTAAGAAATGAGATGGCAGAACGTAAAAGACCCAAGAAAGCAAGTCAAAAGGTGAAATGAGGAAGAGGAGGAAAGTAGGAAAGGGGAGAGAAGGAGGAAGAAAGGGGGGGGGAGGTGAACAATCTTAAGAAATATGGGAAAACAACATGTACCACATGCCTGTCCTCTGATTTCTTGTTTTTAAGTCACAGATCTATCAAATGACAAAGTACAGAATTTGAAACCAGACATAAATCCATTAACACAGAACCAGAGTATAATTAACATGCATTGTTCGAAGCGGGGGGGGCAAACTCTGAGTTCAAACTTCAGGTCAAGTGGCATGAACAATCTTGCCATATTGACTTTCTTGAGTTACTAGACACCATGAAGCAGAGGCAAAGGAAATTCAAATGTGCCACTCCTGAATTTGAAATTAATCAAACGCAAACAAAAGACCATGATGTTGGTTTCTTAGTTGGTCATCTTCAAGCACATCTGCCAACCAGAAATTGCATATAGCTGTGTTTTTGCAAGACTGCTTTCATACTTTCCATCTTTAATGCTAATTTAAATTTACTGATAGTAGACTAAGGTGCGCCTGATACCGGTCATGGTATTTGCAATCGCTTGTTATGCATCAGAGAGTTGGACAATGACTAGGGAGGACAGAAGGAGAGTGGATGCTTTTGAGCTGTGGTGCTGGAGAAGGGTACTGAATGTACCATGGACTGCCAGGAAAACAAACAGATTCATCTTGGAGAGGATTAAACCAAGCTACTCCTTGGAGGCAAGGATTCTGGGGCTTCGTCTGACATACTTTGGACATGTTGCCAGGAGGGACGGGTCCTTGGAGAGGGACATCATGCTTGGGAGGGTGGAAGGACAGCGCAGGAGGGGAAGACCCTCTATGGATGGATTGATTCGGTGACTGGGGTAATCGGGATGGGTGTGTCAGAGGCGGTGCGGTTGGCACAGGATAGAGCAGGGTTTAGAGCTGTTGTGCATAGGGTCGCTATGAGTCGGAAATGACTCGATGGCACATAACAACAACAACAGCTTGAACTAACTGTGAAGCCGATAAACCCACCATTCAGTGTGATTCCTCTCTTGTAAAGCCTCCAATATTTTCCTGACTCTTCCAGTATACTAAAAATACACTGTTTTTACGTGCCATCGAGTCGGAATCCAATCACCCTCCAGTGGGTTTCAGAGGCTGTAAACTGCACGGGAGGAGACTGCCCATATTTCTCCACAGAGCAGCTGATGGTTTCACTCTACCTACCTTTGAGTTGGTAGCACAACTGCTTGCCACCAGGACACCAGAACTTCATGGAAATAATGTATTCTTCAATAATTTTTAAAATACACAAAATTTATTATTAATTAGAAAAATGAATTGCCATTAAGGCAGTAATCGTCAAATGCATGTTGCTTTCTAATATCATATTCCAGTAAGGAAAAATAAAGAAACTCAAAATACACGTCATAAATTGAACCCTTTACATACAATTAGAGGTTATACTAGTGGTGGAAGCTTCCATTCAAGTCTCAACATGATCAGCACTCATCCACACTTAGCATGGTGCTATTTCAGAGAGCAGAAACTATTTAGGGACTCCTCCAAAAGAAACAGAATGTTTATAACTGAATCACCTCCATGCTAAGAAACACTGCTTAAAGGCATCCCATTAACACAACTGTACTAAAGCATTTTGTGCCTATGGCAAAAACACATCCCAAGGGATCAATATGCCACAAAAGACACACCTGAGCTTCTATGGGAGGAAGGGAGGAGGAGAGGAAAAGGGCATAAATGGCAACAAGGGGCTCTTTAGGTTCTCAAATCTTCTACCCAGGAAATCTGCCTAAATTGCTTTGTCAAGATCCACCTGCTTATTCTGGGTTATTATCACACGTATAATGCCTAATCATATATTCCTTTTAAAGAGTTCTTTAAAAAAATAAAAATAAAAATCCACCTGCTTTCAGAAACTCAAATGCCTAGGGGGGATTGCCTGTGAAATCATTTGGCAGTTAATTTCCCCCCACACTTTCTATGTTGAATATTCTAGTCTAGTATTATCAGAAACTAATATAAGTTATTGGAGTGGCATCCACTTCCTAAAACACATGTCTCTGGAAATTCTATGAACTTGGAGAAACAATGATAGCTATGGAAAGGCATTAGGTCTTCTGTTCATGGATTCGCTATGAGTCGACCTCGACTTGACAGCAATCAACATTAACAACAACAATACAAGCTATACAGTACATCCAAGTGATAAACCATGAACAGCTAAAGAAACATTCACATGGAATCTATGAAAAGTGTTGCATGGTTAAGATAGACCAATACATCATCCAATATCATCAAAAGATACAAGGAACACTTGGAGTGTATCTTTCCGAATTGGCTTCCTGATTAAAGAACTCACCGTAGCGCAGAATGCCTTCCGGAGCGGGACACACTGTTGCCCACGGGTGAGGGCAAGTTACTCCCTCGGTGCAGGTCCTCGATGGACCGACTCCAGGGCTTGGATTTGTCCATGGAGCTCTCCACAGTGCTTTCCACACTTTCAAAGTCAAAGCTAAAACAAAACACAGACACCACTGAAGGTTCAAAAACTCATATCCACACAAACACACTGGTGTGCACAACTCACTCCTCCCTGTCATACATCTGCACTGTAATATGAGGACTCTGCAGAAAAAGAAAATTGAACAGGAGATACAAAAAGAATTGCCACAGGCTCCCTGTGAGCTTCAAAAAACACAGGACAGACCCTAAATTTGGCAAAAAAAGAACTAGAGAAATGCAAAAATTAAACAGTGCTGTATTAATTGAATCTCACTACGAGGCATGCTAATTTAACCAACTGCTAATACTGCAACTGTGGAAGGGGAGGGGCAAGATCCGACAGCTGTCTTCATTTTGCTTCAACAAGTCAATATGGTAGGCTTAGACTAATTTATTCCTACCCACCAATTTTCACTAAGTATCTTCTCCTAGTATGCTGGCAAGTGTACTTTTCCAACCATATGTGATGTATTACTATCGAAGCCATTGGGTTTGCTTTGATTTTTGAAATCTCTTCACAATGTGGTCCTCTTTAAAGTAAGATGGTTGTTTCTCTGACATTTTTGAGGTTATTACTCATGTTAGCCATGTTAGAATAAACGGCAAGTTAAGTTGCTCCTTCTTGTATAATTTCAGGAACAAAGTTTTTAAACAGACAGGGCTTTGTGTTCAACGCATTTTTCCCCCTCCTCTCAATGTCAGTAATTCTGTTTTCCAAATAAAAGGAAAGAAAAAAGATATTATTCATTGTTTCTATCCACAGTTTCACCAAACACCACCTGATCATATAATACAGCAAACAGAAAGCAGCTTTAGCATTCATTTAACAAGGAATGCCCTCTGGGAAAATCGAGAGCCTACTGTAGAAGGAAGAGCACTAATAAATAATACACACTTCAGCTAAAACTTAGGATCGCTGAAATATGTTAAGATGGGCCCATTAGCAGAACACTAGGTGATGTGCTCCATCTAATAAATGATCATCCAGAGAGCAGAGACTGTTATACACATACAGTGTGTGGATCTGACCACAGGCACTGTGGTCATCCCACTGGATGCAGGCTGGAGTGCTTATCAGGAAGGATGAAGAAATGCCTAAACCAACTATGGCCTTAAATACCAAAAAAAAAGAGAGAGAGATTGGAGACAGTAAGGCAGGGTGACATTCTAAGTGACAGAAGAGACTCTCCTAAACCATTTATGTCGACTGTATTTATGAAAACAGTATTTTATTCCTCTCAGCCTGCCTTTTTTCTAATGAGAAGAAATGCTTTTATTTCAGGGATGGTATACAGCCATTGTTTCACATCTCAAGGGTTAGGAAATTATCGAATACTACAAAATAGTAGACAATATTTTCTGCAGATTTGTTTCACTAAAGAAGTAACATACACATAGAGTTCCGGTCTTGTGTTGGCTAGCAACTTAGACTCAGGAGTAGAAGTCCCTCCCATTGGTACTCTTTATCGTGTCATTCTTTCCCGTTACCATTACTCCTGAAGTTACTTGGTTGGTAGCTGCCATCGAGTTGAGTATGACTCATAGCTCCATTATGAGCAACAGACCTGAGCCCTGTCCTACCCTCTGCCATCTACATCATCTCTTGGGCCCACCGGTGCAGTCCACCTCGCCAGAGGTCTTCCTCTGTCTTTCCAAGCATGATGTCCCTTCTCCTAACAACATACCCAAAGTATCTTGCCTCCAAGGAGCACTGTGGCTGCACTTTTCCAAGATATATCTATTTGTTCTTTTGGCAGGACCTTCCCTAATTCCATAAACATTACTCAAGGTTTTAAGATAAAGACTCCAGATTTTTAGATAAAGAGCAGGTTGAAATTGTTTTGTTATTTGATACAAAGTATACAGAAAGTATATACAGTTTTAGACATTAATACCTAAGAGGCATCCTTTAGATCAGGCTATAAGAATTAGATTTACATGTCAGAGAAATTTCACAGGAAGTTTGGTTACTGTGTTTTTTTTCTTTGTCTATCGCTATGCTATGAGTCGCAAACGACTCAACGGCACATAACAACAACAACAACATCCCATAAAAAGCAGGAGTGGCATCCACTTCTGAAATGGCTTGCCTCCGGAAACTCTATAAACAGTGCTCAGGCCTTTCATTCATAGGGTCGCTAAGAGTCGTCTACGACTGATGGGACCTAACAACAACAACATCCCATAAAATGTATGTTGTTGTTGTTAAGTGCCATAGTGACCCTATGAACAAAAGACCTGGACACCTGTAAAATTTTCATCCTTTCTCGAGGTTCTTAGGGTTTCCAGAGGCAAGCTATTACAGAAGTGGATGCCACTCCTGCTTCCAAGATTGTTTTAATCGGGGAGCTCCGCCAAACACTGTCCACCATTATCGCATTAGACACATCAGTGTCACAGTGTTCAGCTTCACAGCAACTATGAGTTACCTCCATATAGCAAGTGGACAGACCAGGGTTATTCGACCTAGAAGAATGTTTTACCAAAAACAAGTAAAGGCAGGCCTGAGGGCTGCGGATTAGAGCCACTCACCTTTGGCTTGAGAGCATGACTTTATACAAAAAATGTATTAGCAGGACTAAAGCAAAAAATACCTCACAGAGCCAGTTTCAGTTACTACTTCAGTTTCAGCATCCTTAGATTACTAATATTCTACCTGATTAAGCCTTGGGACTTTCTGCATTAAGTCATAAAAAACAAGTTACAGCTTTTGAAAGAAAACATGAGGAACAAAAACTCCACCTAGACTGAAAAGTCTTTGTATCGAATTAAACACTTACTACCTCCCCAGTCTGTCTGTAAGAGCAGATCTCAACATGAATCCCACCTTTTATTAAGATTACTTTTTTAAAAATTTTTTCTTTATTTTTATTGTATTATTTTTTACGTGTATCATCAAATCAGATCTGACTGGTACAGGAGGAGATTGCCCCCTCCTTCTCCAGCAGAGCCTCTGGTGGATTAGAACAGCATACCTCTGCGATTGCAATGCAGCATCTTGCCACCAGGCCACCAGAGCTCCCTAAGATTACTTTTTGATGAAAGAAAGAAATATGGAGAAGAACAGGTGAAGTCCTATTGTAAATAATTTCAGAATTCTAACAAATAGAAGGATGTTAAGGGGAGGGGAAAAAGGCATAATAGGCATAATCAAATAAACTGGATTTTTTTTCCCTCTGTTCTAGTTTTGTAAGGAAAGGCCAAAGCAATGCAAATGCACATAAAGTAAAACCAAAAAGCTTCATTACCTCAGTTACTCAGTTTCACTATTCATACATTCATATTTACTTTTAAAATCTCTTCCTGTGTATTTAATAACAAACAAGTATCAGTTTTTAAAAAAAATGCAAACGGTGGCAGTACTTTTCTGACTCTAGCTTACTTCACTCAACAATACATCATAAACCTCTTTCAGTAACTATTCTACTGAATTCTATAAGAATCTAAATAACTTAAGCCCTAAAATACTTCTTTATAAAATAAGCACTTGTCTAAGGGTTATTTTTGATCACCTGTCTTATTTCTGCCTTAAAAACATTTCTAATACCAATTATGTGATTTGTTTTTAGTTACATAAACAGACACAAACCTTCCTCAACACTACCCCATCTGCTTCTGGGTTTCCTCCCTGAGCCCTACAGGGTGTAATTTGCCACTGAGCTGCCATTTTCTGCGACCACTCAAAATTCAAAAGCAAACAAGCCAAGCTTTACTTACGTTACTGCGTACTGTGCAAATGAAAGATATTCCACCAGAACATCAAGACCTTTGTTTTCTTCATTCAGAAACTCTCTGACCCACCTGTTGGGGATGGGGAAAAAAAATAATAAAAAATTGGAGCAATACATCTCATGCCCTACCTAAAAAGAATGCAGAAAAAAAGGGGTTGGTTGTGTTGGTTTTTTTACAGTCAGAAATGGTCACTATGAAAGGTGGCCGACGTTCAAGTAGGAGCTTTCAGATATGGCAACTAAAGAAACTACAATATTACAGCATGCAAGAATAAAGAGAAGGGGGAGAGAGGCTAAATACGGGGGGAATGCACCATTTTTTCATTTTACTGCTTGGAGACATAAGATAACCTGTATGACACTTTCTAAAAAGGGAACTTGCTAAGTATACTTCTTTCCACCACAGCGATACACAGCTTGCTAGCTGAAGGAGCCAAGATTACATGGGGAATGAGCAGACTGGGGCCATGACGATATAACCACCGAGACCCAGGCATGATTCCAAATCCCCGTTCATCTCCTTCTTGGCACGTAAAATGGCAGGAGCAACTAAACCAGCCAATGAAAGACCAGTGTTTATGGGTTTCAAGAAATTCAATAGCTATAATAATTTGCTTAATATTTTCCATGAATGTCAAGACCTTCTTAGAAGCTGCCGGCACCCTTTACCACTGTCAAAGCCAACATATCACAAAAATCCTTTTTCAGAATTCTTTTTAAAATAGTATCACCTTGCACTTGAATGGTACGGAACAGTTCACTCATAATTTTTACTGTGTTTTATTTGGTCCTTGTGACCACTCGAATAAATATGTGTAGTTAATACACCCTTAGGTACTGAGGAGTTCAATACCTATTATCCTACTTTAAAGTAGCCTTGGTGGCACCAGTAGTTACAGTGCTTGGATACTAACCCAAAGATCAGTGGCTTGAGCCCATAAGCTAGCTGTCCAATGTGGGTAAGATGTGGTCATCTGAATCTAAAGATTTTTTTTAACCACTATGAGGAGTCCTACTCTGTTCTTACAGAGGCTCACTGTTTAGTCAGAATTAACTCAATGTCAATGAGTCATCTTATTTTTAAGATTCCTCCCATGGAATCAACTGCAAAAAAATTGTGATACCTGGTTACAATTAATGTTTGAAAGTCCTAGTCCTACAAATAAAAAAAATTTTTAAAAAAATTTTTTTTTTTTAAAAAAGGACCAGTACAGTCCTTCAGTGACATTTGGGACACTACTACCAACTGCATTGCAGAACGGATGCCTTATTCCTTAAACTTCATGCCAAGAGGTACACCAATTATGGGTATTTCACCTACTATCAATGCCAAATTTGCTGTTCACAGCTTCAGTTTGCTCGGCTCCACAGTCAACACTCTTGGCACCAGCAGTCAGGAAATCAAAAAGCGTATCGCGATGGGAAAGTCTGCTGTTAGGGACCTCTCTAAGGTACTCAGGAGCAACAGTGTCTCTCTGGAGACTAAGGTGTGCCTGATACAGGCCATGGTATTTGCAATCGCTTGTTATGCATCAGAGAGTTGGACAATGACTAGGGAGGACAGAAGGAGAGTGGATGCTTTTGAGCTGTGGTGCTGGAGAAGGGTACTGGATGTACCCTGGACTGCCAGGAAAACAAACAGATTTATCTTGGAGAGGATTAAACCAAGCTACTCCTTGGAGGTAAGGATTCTGGGGCTTCGTCTGACATACTTTGGACATGTTGCCAGGAGGGACGGGTCCTTGGAGAGGGACATCATGCTTGGGAGGGTTGAGGGACAACGCAGGAGGGGAAGACCCTCTATGAGATGGATTGATTCGGTGACTGGGGTAATCGGGATGGGTGTGTCAGAGACGGTGCGGTTGGCGCAGGATAGAGCAGGGTTTAGGGCTGTTGTGCATAGGGTCGCTATGAGTCGGAAACAACTCGACGGCACACAACAACAACAACATTGCAACAATTGTAAAATAATCCTAGAAACACGTGTGCCCTGAAAGACTAGCAATTCCTTGACATCTTTTGCTTGAAAGAAGATGGAATCCAATGAATTCAGGGTATGTTTTTTGTTTGTTTGTTTGTTTTTCTTTGGGGGTAGGGATTAATTTGTATATTGTTCCTCTTTTCCTCAGCTTCATTCTTTCTTTCAGTTGGTCACCTCCATGACATAATAGGAACCAGAATGGCAGGAAAAGTAGCCCATTTGCCTTGTATTACCCACCTGCAGCACCTTACATGCCACATAAGGTATGCACCTAACTGGCACAAGTAAGCACTGACATTTCATTTAAAGGACCATTAACACTGGGTAGAAACTACTATCAGTTAAGTCTCACAACAACGTGGCTTTGTTACGAGATCTAAACAAAACTAAATGAGCTGGCTACTGGCTGAGACTTAGCCAACCTTTCCAAATGACTACTATATGACCTTGCCATATCTGCTTCTGGATGCTTATTTTCATTTTAATTCTTTTAATTACTCACTATGCTACTGCCAGATCCCAGGAGACACAGTAGATTTTTTTTTAAACTGCTGATAATTTGAAATTTAAAAACAGTAAGTCTTTGTAAAATAATGTAAATCTTGTCAATAACAGTTCCATTTTTTTCAAAAAAGTATTACTTGTGTTAATAAAGGATGAATTATTTTGAAAAAATATACTTCAAATTTACTCATTTTCATTGTTGTTGTTGTTAAGTGCCATTAAGTCATCTGCGACTCATAGTGATCTTATGTACAACAGCTCTGAACCCTGCTCTATTCTGAGCCAGCCTCATCGTTTCTGACTTCCTCGTCCCCATTACCCGTCACTGAGTTCATCCATCTCATGAAAGGTCTTCCTCTTTTGCATTATCCCTCCAACCTCCAATTATGATGTCCGTCTCCAAGTACTGGTCCCTCCTTGCAACATGCCCAAAGTATGTCAGATGGAGCTTCAGAATCCTTGCCTCCAAGGAGCAGCCTAGTTTCACCCTCTTTAGGACAGACCTCATTTTTTTCTTAGCAGTCCATGGCATATTAAATACTCTTCCCCAACACTGCAGCTCAAAGGCATTAATTCTCTTTCTATCATTCCTAGTCACTGTCCAGCTTTCTGATGCACAGCAATTAATTGCAAAGGCCATGGCTTGGATCAGGCACACCTTAATCTCCAGACTGACACTGTTGCTCTTCAGTCCTCCAGCTAGGCCCCTGACAGCAGATTTTCCCCATGCAATTTGTCTTTTGATCTCCTGGTAGCTGGTACCAAGTGTGTTGATGATGGAGCCAAGCAAACTAAAGCTGTTAACTATCTCAATCGCTTCATCTGTCATGATACTGCCAATTGGCCCAGTGGTGAGAATCTTTGTTTTCTTGATGTTCAGCTTCAATCCTTATTGAAGGCTGCAGTCCTTGACCTTCTGCAGCAAATGCCTCAGATTCTCCTCAGTTTCGGCAAGCAAGGATGTGTCATCTGCATAATGTAGGTTGTTAATGAGTCTTCCTTCAATCTTGATGCCACAATCCTCCTCATAGAGCTCAGCCTCCCAGATGATCTGTACTGCACATAAACTAAAAAGGTATGGCAATAGAATGCATCCCTGGCATACCCCTTTCCTGATTTTGAACCATGAAGTGTTTCATTACTCTGTTCTAATGACTGCCTCATGGTCCAAGTATAGGTAGGTTTTGCAGAAGCACAAACGTTAATACACATAACTCACATATATAAATACAAGTCTACTGGGATTCTAAGATCAAGAAAGTAGGAGAAAAACTATTTTAAAAATAAGGCTCCAAATTTAGACCCATCTAAGATCAAATCAATATGGATTGAAGCTCAACATCAAGAAAACAAAGATTCTCCCCACTGGGCTGACTGGTAGCATCATGATGGATGGTGAAGAGACTGAGATTGTTAACAGCTTTAGTTTGCTTGGCTCTACAATCAACATTCTTGGTACCAGCAACCAGGAAATCAAAAGACAAATTGACCTGAGAAAGTACGCTATCAAAGACCTCTCCAAAGCACTGAAGAGCAACGATGTCAGTGTGGAGACTAAGGTGCACCTTCCAGGCCATGGTCTTTGCAATTACTTGCTATGCATCAAAAAGCTGGACAAGGAGTAGGGATGATAGAAGGAGAACTGATGTCTTTAAGCTATGCTAGTGAAGAGTATTAAATATACCATGGACTGCTAGGAGAACAAACAAGTTCATCCTAGAGAGAGTGAGATCAAGCTGCTCCTTGGAGGCAAGGATTCTGAAGCTTGGTCTGACATACTTTGGACATGTTGTAAGGTGGTACCAGTCCTTGGTGAGAGATGTCATGCTTGAGAGGGTGGAGGGACAACACAAGAGAGGAAGACCCTTCATGAAATGGATTGATACAGTGACTGGGATAATGGGAGTAGCTGTGTCAGAAACAATAAGATTGGCACAGGATAGAGCAGGGTTTAGGGCGGTTGTACACTGGGTCGCTATGAGTCACAGACAACTCGATGGCACATAACAACAACAAGATCAAATCTCCAAGCTGTGTGTCTGTACTTAAGAAGGAGTATGTAACATAACACTGGACTAAGTCTGCAGCTTGGAGATTTGCGTGAAGTGGTTGGATTCTGGAAGATGGTTACTCGCATCTTCATGACTGCCGGCTATGGAACATTTCATTGGGTTTTTTTTTTTTATCGTCCACAATTGGGTGTCAGCTGACTGGCTCTGCTAGAGTTAGCTGACAATGAACGAGCTTTGGGCTGAAAGTCTCTTGGTTTACAGTCTGGCAGCACCTGGTGGGCATGCCTGTATTTAAAAAGCAGTACAGCTAGTGTTAAATTTATTTTGGAATGAACAGTCTCTAAGAGGTACAGCAGTGGTCTATTTTCTGTACTGAAGTAACTTGGGTTTGCTCTGAGGCTGAAAGCCGTGCCACAGGTGTGTCAAATGCCATAATGATTACCCATCATGGACAATGTTTGGTGGAGCTCCAAGATTGATTCAGGTTTGGAAGCAGGAGTGGCATCCTAAACCACATGCCTCTGGAAACTCTATGAACATAAAGAAACAATGATAGTTACAGAACAGGGTTCA